TATATATATATATATATATATAGGTAAGGGATCATATGAGAATGGTAGATGGTGAAAGAAATAAGAATAAATATATACCATTAGATCTAACTCATCAAAGGTCAAGATGAAATCAGAATTTAAATATGTCAATAAATCTGGCGGTGGCAGTTTCGTAAATACGCATATATCTCGAGGTCAAGTATACACAATTACTCAATAATTAAGGGCAATATGGGGTATTACACATTTACCACACATGGGTAGTGGGCCCCACACACTCAACAATATCGTTCCCTTCTCTCTTTGTATTTGTCTTTCTCTCTCCCTCTCTCTCCATCTGTTTCGCCCGCATCCCTCTCTCACTCTCTCGCACCATTGCTCACCAACCTCATGGCGGCGGTCATCGGCGGACCAAAGCAACCCACAGCAGCAGAGGAGATTCGGTCCAACGTCTACCTCATCCTCTCCTCGGCATCACAACCTCCACCGTAGAACTCAGCGCCGCCGTTGAACCAACTTTTTCGATGATTTCTTCCACCTATGGCTGTCGTCGCCGACTGTTCCAAGCCACCGCAATCTCCATCACGTCCATTTGCTCTCATCCGCCACTCGTTGTCACTATTGTAAATCCCTAAATTGAGCACCAATTATATATATTGTATTCCGATTTCGGTAATTAAATTGAGGTTTGGGAGCGAGCACCTCCGCTCCGACGCGGCGGAGCGTATTCAAGCTCATACCTATGGCGACGCCGGCTGCGACGCCGACAGCAGTGCCGTGAATTTTGACCGGCGTTCATAGATGGTGACGGGATTGGTGAGGTGATTTGGAGGGACTTGTCTTTGAAAATTAGATGACATCTAGGGGCATATTTAGAATTTCAGTTTTTTTTTAGTATATTTCAATTTAGGTCATGGTACAATTTGTAATTAACAAATCTTAAGTAATATTTTAATATTTTTCATTTGTTTTTTGTTGGTTGGATCTTGTTCGATTTTGTGCAATCCGGTAGTCAATCAGGTGCAATACGTATAGTCATAATGTGTAATCGCAACACATAAATAATGTAGATAAAAAAAATAGTGTTTTTTTTTTTTGAATAATATCATATATTTCGACATGTCCGGCTATTTTGTATATTTTAAAAAAACTAAATCCGACATTTAACCACCAATATTATTTGTTCGATTATCATAATTATTGTATTTTTTGCATGACATTGTGTTGTTTTATAAGGTGTAACATTATATGATAAGAAGTGCAACGTATTGGTGTATAAAGTGCAACATACTGGTATATAAAGTGCAATACTGAAATTTTGGTACGTTAGCAACTTAGCATACATGTGTTTTTTTTTTTGGACAAGTGATATGATGGATATATTAAATTATTTATGTTGATCCGTTTATTAGATCTATATTGCGTAATATTTTTTGGCGAGACCTGTTGACATTAATTGTGCAATGTGGTGACAAAGTGCAACGTGTTGTTTTATAAAGTGCAACATATGGTTTTGTAAAGTGCAACTTTTCGCTACATAAAGTGCAATAATCTATACATTCCCAAATAAATTGTTTGTATTCGAACACTAGATATAATCTTACATTGAATTAACCTAAATAATAAAGATATATTTTATTTATTATTTTTCATTACATAATTTATTTATTATTATATATTATTTTAATATTTTATACTAACTATTTAATACTTTATTTATTATGTAACATATATGCATAACAATATAAATAAAAATAATTTATTATTAACTTTCAATAATAACAGATTTGACCTACGGGTAAAATTGAAATAAAGTTAAAATTAAAAAAATTTCAAATAGGTCCCTAGATATAACCTAATTCTCAAAAATAAGTCCCAATCTCACAGTCCAAGTTCACCCATTTTTTTCGGCAGGACTCGCTCTCGGGCAAGCACACGGGGACCCTCCGACGACGCCGGACCTATGGAGCTTCCCGTCAACGTCGGACCTGAGGAGTCGTCCGTCGACGACGATTGTCATGGTGAGCTCGCCGTCGACACATGTGCGACCTGCATAGCTCACGTAGGGCTCGCCGTGAGTTCTGACCTCCGGCGAAGTACGCCA